ATATATATATATATATATATATATATATATATATATATATATATATATATATATATATATCTTTCTTAATTTCAGTTTAGTTTATATATATACATATTCATAAAATTACAAGCCTATATATAATTTAAATATCATATTACTATCAACTGAAACTTAAATGATATTGATATCCTTCAAACTTTTTATGATTATAAAAACATTAATTCATCAACAGTTAATTATGAGCTTTTAAATGAATGTAAATGAAAGGGACATACCTAAAGGATTTTTATATTTAAAGGGATATATATATATATATATATATATATATATATATATTTATACATATATAAATGTATATATAAATATATATGTATATATACATATATATATATATATATACATATATAAATGTATATATAAATATATATGTATATATACATATATATATAAATAAATAAATATAAATATATATATATATATACATACACATATATATATATATATATATATATACATATATATATATATATATATTTATAAATATAAATATATATATACACATACATACATACATACATACATACATACATACATACATACATACATACATACATACATATATATGTATATATATATATATGTATATATATATGTACATATATATACATATATATATACATATATATATATATACATATATACATTTATATATATATATACATACATATATATACACACACACACACACACACGCCAAAACTAAAACTTTTAATCACCGTCGGATCAGATAAATCCGCCGATCTTAAAGCAAGCACCGCCATTCCTGGGATGTTCATATTGCTCCTCGCGGAGGCTCTCATCGTAGCGCCTTCTGTTCTCAGATCTCCGCACCTAAAGTATCTCCTCGACATCTACCTCGCCTTATTCTTCGTCTTTGATTTCCCAAGTAATTGCTCCCCGTCTCTGTTTCACACGGTTTCCCCCTTGATTCTTTGTCTGCATGCATACATAGATCGATCGATTCGGGGTTGGGAAGCTTCTGGGTTTTGGATCCTCTCTGCACGCGTGGTGTTCGATCTTGTATCTTTCGGTTTTCGGCCCTCTGGAAAATTATGTATTGTTCTATGTTAATTATTTTTTGTGATTTTGGATCTTTGCACCATTTTTCTTTTAATTTCTTTGAGAAAAATAGAAGGTGTTCGTCCTTGAATTCACGTGTTCATTATGCGTTATACTTCTAACTGTACCAGATCTTGGTTTGCCTAAATATTTCAGAATTTCATGGCCCAAATCTTCCGTTCAAGTTGATTAGGGTTCTATGAAACCCATTCCTGGTATGTTTTCATGGGAACATTTTCATGAAAGGAAGTGTCAAGGATGAAATATGGTTAGTTTTATAAGATTAGGGTTCTATGCAACCTCAGTTAGTGGTTTGCATCCTGAAGGCAGGCATGTCGAAAAATGCGATTGGAAGTGTGATTGGCTGTCATTGGACAGCTGAGGGTTCAACGGATTTGGCCCCAGGTCTAGTGAACCCTTTTTTGAGGAGGTCATTAGTGAAGTGGAGAAGGCCCATGTGTTTCTTTCATGCAGATGTCTTCTATAGTGGAGTATGGTTTCTCCTAAAATTTAGTTGTATCTTGGAATAGAAGTACTTAGATGTGGAAGGCTTTTCTGTTGGAGGAGTGTTCTCTGCATATAAAGAGTAAGTGCCAGGAGATGGTTTTCTAGGAACTTGATCTATAATATACATGTGATGGTGGAAAATGCTTGCCATAAGAAAAGGGTTTCACAAGATAAAACTAACACATACTAAATGTGAAACAGGCATAAGAATCCATTTGGTTGATTGTGCTTTTAAGACAAAAGTTATGTGTTTCTGGCTACAACATAAGAAACAAAAGTTAGTGCATGAATAAAGGCAAGGGAAAAAGGGCTCCAAATTTAGATTTAATTAGTCCATTTGATGCATCCCTTGGTTCAGTGAGGAAAAAAAAAAAACTCTCAATCTAGATTGAAGTTGTTCATCCTAATCCATTGTAATCTTTCCATATACTTGTGGTTACTATGTCAAGTATAGCGTGATTACATATTCTGAATTTGATGGATTAGCATCAAAGAATTGTTGATTGTTCTTATATCAATGAAGGGAAGTGATTCAAGAATAGCCATAATTCTCATACTCCAATTGATCTTTTTTACTGTTCATGTATTGCCATCCATTGCTTTACTCATATTTGTGTCTCCATTTTCTTAATGACCTTTATTCAATACTTTCCACCGTGTTGACACATATAAAACTCTGTTCAACTTTGGGAATTTAAATTCACACACTTGTATTTTTCGAAGTTTCTTGCAGCAAATACTTATATGGGAACCAAAACAAAGTAAAGTATCTCAGCAAGCACTTATTTTTTATCAGACGATATAATCTACTTGTTACCAATAATTGCTACTAATTTATCTGTAAGCTTTCTCAGAAACAGTAGCAAATTATTTTTTTTGTGTACCTGAGCTACTGATCACCACTCTTACACTAGCAAGTTCCTCTGATTTTTTAAATTACTTTTCTCTAGCTGCTCCTTCCAACACAGTGCTTGCCTGTCCTGCTTTTTCCTCGTCGCGTCTTTGTTTCTTCACACGTAAAAGAGTAGTGTTGAATGGAAGAAAAATCAATTGAATGTGCACAATTCGGGTCAGGATCCATGAATTGTTGTGAGCATGTGGAAAAAACAGGATCACGTAGAGAAAAGTAGATATGATTGTGTCTTCCATCACCATGCAGCAACATAAGAGGGGCATATGAAATTGGGAAGAGGATCTGTGCCTAGTTGCTGCTATATAGGCCTTTAGGGAGCATTGTTAGTGGTTATCCTGCTTTAAAATTTTTGCCTCTTTACCTCATATATTAGGCAGCCTAATCTGTGTTTTCCTGCTTTTGTTTAAATTTTGAGTTCTTCAGTTCAATTAATCAAATTGTTCTTTTTTCCTATTTTTCTTTCTTTTCTTTTCTGCTGCTTTTATGTTTTACACAATGTTTAATCAAATTGTTATTTTCTTCCTTCAGGTTCTTTTACTTCAAGGAGACAAAGGTAATCAGGAAAGAGCATATCCTGATGCCTTTTCTGAGATCTTTTTCAGGCATGCGATTGCCAGGGGTTCTCAGGTACAAGTGATCTATGAGTTGCAGTCGCACCATTTTTATTACAATTTCAGTTACACTATTTTTGTTTTATTTGGTAATATTGTAATGCTTAAGTACCAGATATTTCTTCAATATTGTTTTCCGGAATTGCCTGCAGCTTTCCTTCCTGTTTCCATGGGTTCTCATTGCCATTTTTTCTGTCGAAGGACATAGGTCGACTCCCGTGCTTTGTTTTCTATTGTTTCCTTTTTCTGCTCGATTTTGTATGGTGCTTTGAGTATGACCGAAAGCACACATCATATCCTTATCATGTTAATCTATTGTTGCAAAACTAAATCTAAAAACTAAATTTTTTTAAAGGCAGTTGGAGCAAGACCTGGAGACTGTAATAACTGTACTGCAGCCAGGACCATTAGGGATCATCGAGCACAAGTTTTCGGCTGCTGAGGTGCAAGGAGCAAAGGCCATAGTCCAAAGCTCAGTTGAGAATTGGCGAAGGAATTCTGCACATGAAAGAAATGGCCACGTTTGGCAGCAATCCAAAAGTGCAACATCACAGGAGTGACAAATCTACTTGCTACTGGATTTGCAAGAACAAAGGGACCTGGTTCTTCAAATGCTACTGACTCATGTGGATGTTCTTGCTTTGTAAGCACTCCCTATCCTATCTTTGAATGTCAAGTTTTTGGACTCCTTTGAGAGAGAAGCGCGCATGTGTCACAAAATATAATCGAATCGATCAGTCTATAGAAAGATTATATCTCCAATTAAGTGGCATTTTGTTAATTATGAGAATTTGTTTTATACATAATGTTCATATGTTCAATTTGCTCTCTGTTTGTCATCTGCACAGTTTTGGTGCTCTATTGACATCTCAAGATAACAGGGAACGTTCCATCTTTGTTTGTCGTCTTCAGTTTTGGTGTTCTATCAGCCACAATCTCAAAGTTATGGCTAATGATGTCTTCAATCTCAATCAAGCATAATTATCCATTGAATGTAGCAATAGAGAACAGAATGGGCACTAATGTAGTCCAATTGGGTCCATAGCATCACATCACTAGTATTGGAATTAGATGGTATCGTGGCTACTCTGCATTCCACAGATTGACGACACTGCTAACGGTGTCATATTCTCTGCTGACCAAGACCCCTATTTACTGCCACTAATATTGAAGCAAGTGTCCCAATTGACCGGTTTCTCCCTATTTATGACCTGGACACCTGGCGATCGAGGGATTAGTGCTACCGGGTGTCTCCGGTCACCCGCATCCTACTCCCTCCAAGTTCATTAATTATACGCTTCTCCGTATCCAGAGAAAAGAAAACATCTCGTCGTCCTCGGAGGGGTTGATCATGGCCGTCGATGCTCCATCATCCGGTCGTGTTCGTCTCGCTCCCGTCTCATGCACGATCGGACTCACCCCTCTCCGCCAGGGAACAGCTTCCGCGGCCAGGCCAATGCCACCTCACAAAGTGGCGTAGTCCGAAACGCCGTCTGATGTCCTCGAACTTTAATTACCTATTTACCCCTATTCCCAACACAAAACCATCGGGTCGCCACTCCCTCTGCTCCTTATACTCACTAAATGGCCCTTAGCTGCCTCACTGCCGACACTTTCCCGTCGGATCCGCTGAAGCCCCGTCGGTAGCCCGTGATCGCCATCTTCAACTATACGCTCAACACGTGTAATCGCCGGCGTGCATCTCACCGTTGAAACCCCCCAGACACGATCTCCCGTGGGCACGCTTTTCCGGTTATTTCGAAGGATTTAGTGTGGCATTCCTGGGAATTCACAATACAATAAAAATAAAAACATGAATAAAAGAAAATACGGCCACTGCCGCGCGGATGTCTTCCACTGTCTTTGGCGCGTATGTGAACTAACAACGGACGAGAAGAAAAAAAGGGTAAAAGAAATCAAATAAATGCGCACACACACATCCAGAAAGAGAACAGAAGAAGGGTGGGGTTTGTTTCTGATCATCATCATCGTCTCTCTATCTCTGTCTTGGAAAGAAGGAACGAAAAGGAAAAAGAGAAGAAAGAGAAAGAAAGATCTCGATCGGAATCGATCTTTCTCAAGGCCCAAACCCACTTCGTTTCTCTCAGTCCTCGCTTGATCTCGCCATTCCAGAACGTTCCGGAAGGTTCCCGAACCCTCCGATGGAGATGAACGAGCCCGGCTCCGCCGCCAAAGGCCCCCGCCCCGATCCCGACGCCGCCCTTGAAGGTAGTGCAGGATCGCTGTTGGTCCGATCGATTGCTTTGGGTCTGCAGTGGTGCTGGGAAGTTTGCTGTTAGGGTTTATTGTGTGGAACGGGAGAAGAAAGGGCGAAGCAAGTTCTTGATGATTATGTATTGATGTTAATGTAGAATCCATGTGGAGGTTGGGACTGGGCGAGGGCAGTTCTTCCTACCCGGAGAGGCCTGGTGAGCCGGACTGCTCCCACTACGTGCGTACCGGATCGTGCAGCTACGGCGAGAGGTGCCGCTACAATCACCCTCGTGATCACGGAGCTGTAAGGATTTCATCAACCTTTGGTTGAGATTTATTCTATTAGGGTTACCTGCACCTTTTTCTGTTATTGTTCTCTTTTTTTTTTTTTTCTTTAATACCTGATCATTTTTCCTGTTATATCGCTTTCTTTTTGATTGGGTGAATAAGATGTAGCTTGTCTAGAATGATGCAAGTTTGTGTCTGTAAGCAAGCCAGTTTGTGGCTTACCAAAGACAATCCATATATGTGAACCATATTACTAGCATTTGGTTTGTGTTGTTGAATTAAATGATAGTGTAAACATCTTTAGTTAACTGGGGCTGGAACTGGAAGGACCGGGGCTGTTGAGTATCTGGAGCGAGCGGATCAACCTGTATGTGAGGTACCGTGCTTCCCATTTTTAGAATTTGGTTTTGCTCGACTGAACACTGGGTAAGTGCACTTATACTAAAATGCGAATCTAATATTACAGTTTAATTATGAACATTCACCATATTGGATATTGGATATTGGATTTTGTGGAGCTATTGAAATCTATTGTTTTAACTGTGGTAAGATGGTCTTTTTCAGTATTATATGAAAACTGGAACTTGCAAATTTGGTTCTACTTGCAAGTATCGCCACCCCAGGCAAGGAAGTGGATCCATCCCTCCGGTCTTGTTAAATGACTGTGGATACCCACTGCGGCCGGTTGGAGTTTCTTATTCTATACCTTTTCATATTGCTCTATCCCATAATTACTTGCCACATTTATATTTTCTCTAACATTCTCTGTTTTTGTCATGCTGTCCAATGATGGAAATTTAGGGGGAGAAGGAATGCTCCTATTACATGAAGACTGGCCATTGTAAGTTTGGTTCAACTTGTAAATTCCATCACCCACAACAAGCTGAGGCTTTGGTGCCCTCGCCTGCACCTGCATTTTATTCACCGGTGCAGCCTCTGTCAATTCCTTCACCTCAACAGTATCCACCCACGGTTACTTGGCAGTTCACCAGGCCTTCAGTGTTCCCTGGTTCATATATGCCAGGACCTTACGCTCCCATGCTGCTCTCTTCAGGAGTTGTTCCAGTTCAGGGCTGGAATCCTTATCCGGTTTGTGAGACCCTTGTTGCTGAAGTTTTAGTACAAGAGGATAGGATGGAAAATCTGAGGTTTCTTATTTTGTCTTATTACATACAACGCAGGTGCCTATGAGTTCGGTAGTTTCTCATGGAGGTCACCAAGCAGTTCAAGCTGGACAAGTATATGGGTTGCCAAACCAGCCATTTCCTTTGATGCCTGCTTACTCTGGGCCTCTCACACCGGTATCCTCTTCGGTCGGCCCTTCAAATGCTAGTCGTCGAGGAGATAAGTTTCCAGAGAGACCTGGCCAACCAGAGTGCCAATTCTACATGAGGACAGGAGACTGCAAATTTGGAGCTACATGTAAATATCATCATCCTCCGGACTGGAGCATATCAAAGGGAAACTGTGTTCTTAGCCCCCTTGGCCTCCCACTTCGTCCGGTATGCTTCTCTACCACCTGTCATTATCTGTCATAAAGAGAAAAATGATCCGATTCTATATGCCATTTCTAGTTTTTGAAAACTTGATGCACAACAACATTACGTTTCCCAACTGTATTGGGCTGCCACTGTCCTCCATTGAGCTTAACCAGGGCATATTAAGTCTGTAAGGAGGACACACATTCTAAAGCAAAAAATTGGATTTGATTTTGCCAAATATTTGAAGTTGTACAAGTTAAGACTTAAATTACTTTTTATTGAATATAAAAATGTTGTATTTGAGGCCTATAAGTAGTATAAAGCACATGATAGAACAAATGTTTTGGATTTTTAACAAAATAACCTTTTATATTAAATGCTAATACGGTTCCTGCTTATATTTCTCTTGGTGGGATCAATGAAAAAACCAATTATTTTTCGATATAGACAATTTTAAGTCTGATTATACCTGAGAATTAAGATTTACAATTTTACATAATGAAAACACTGGAAGGTAACAATCCTGGTGAAAAACAAATTTAACTTTCGCCACCAAATAACAGATGAAAAATTTATCCTATTACAATCTTTAAATCTTTAATTTTCGGTGTTGGCTGTGAGAAATGGGAAGAGACTTTGCAGATTTTTTTTTTTAATATGTCTAGGATCGTTGAAATTGGATGGGCAGCACAATATTTAAGCTGTTTCACCAACAGATATTCTGGTTTGTGTTTTGGTAATCTTTTCTTGAAAACAGCTATTGCTGTAGTATTCATGGTTCTCTTTTAATTACTTGGCCATCCTTGGCAAAGAGAATAATTTCTTTCACTATAAATTTGAATTTTTCAATAAATTGAGAAGACTTCTTATTGGCAAACTTCTCATCTGCTTATTTTGAATAAACCAGTCACTGATATAGTTGGGTCTATAAGACTATTTCCTGTTTTGTGGTCAAATTAGATAGCAAATCTTCCTACCTATCAATGCAAGGACAAGAATCTATTTTATGGATCATATCTTGGTTGTATAAAGATATGGTGGTCATTTGAATTTGTGTAGTTCAGGAATTGAGAAACTTGAGCCAATTGTTAAGTTACCAAAATTTCCATGTTATTTATTACTCCAGATTGATGATTTCTATAGTTTTTGAGTGAAGTCTTGTTTCCAATAAACAAATGCTCTTCAAGCCTTCGGAATCTTATTATATAGTTTCTAGCTCGAAAACCATGTAGGAAGTTGTAAGATCAATGAAGTCGTATGAATCTTTTAATAGTTTCTTAGCTCTGCAATTCTTTGATCTTTTTCTACGATTCATTTTTCTGCTGACAAGAAGTAGGCATATCCATTTGTTGATGATAGCTATATTTTTGTTCATAATTATTTTTTAAAATTTTCACATTCTTTTGGAGTATTCTTGTGTTTCTGATCAAATACTTGTGACAGGGGGCTCAACTTTGCAATTACTATGCACAACACGGAATGTGCAAGTTTGGGACAACATGCAAATTCGATCATCCAATGGGAACTCTGAGCTGTAGTCCTTCTGCATCTTCACTCTTTGACATGCCAGTTTCTCCCTACCCTATTGGATTATCTGTTGCTACCTTCGCCCCATCCTCATCATCCTCAGAGCTACAACCTGAATTCAGTTCCAGTAAGGAATCTTTCTCTAGCAAAATGTCATTCGGGAGCACATCTAGTGGTTCTATCGGTACATTATTTTCTAATACGGGTTACCTTCCCCACTTGTTTATCCGGCATCAAACCCCTACGTCGAGTAGTGGTGGTTTCATTGCACCCGGTGGTGAAATCTCAAGTTCAAGCTGAGAAAAGCAGATCTCCCTTTATAGTCATTTTCAAGTATGTACTAAGCCTCTAATTCCAACTCATTATTCATTGGTGATGGAGGCACAATATATTATTTGTTTCTTTTTTGTCCTGTCAAAATTTTGTAACTCCTCCAAATTGCTCATCTCATCCAGCTTCCTCCCGGTTTTTAGCTTTCATGACCTTGTTTATACAATCCTCCTAGACCGACCCTCTTGTGAAATAAGCTATGGCATATCTGAAGATGACATAGCAAAATCCTAAGCCTTACACTTTTGACTTTTCTTGATATCTGGCCAACAAACCCCCCTCCCCCTCCTTCCTTCTTCAGTCAATTAAGCATCAATTTTTGATCTGTCTGCTATTTTCTATGAAAACTTTTTTATAAATCTTTTCCTCGTGAAAAAGGATAATGTGTTTCATGGCTCAGATTTCTGCACTAGTTTAGAATCCAAGCTTCGACATGTTCTTGCATTACAGTTCTCTGTGAAGCAGGCTACTGATATGCAACTCAAGCAAGATATCCCCACAGTTGTGCTCAAGCAATTCCTTAACTTGGTAACCCTGTATCTACCGTTATCATTCCAAGCAGCACCAATGGACTCACATGTACTTGTGGTCATGGAAAAACCTCCTGCTGCTTGCTTGTAAGAATAAATGCATAGTGGTATAAGAACATTTGGATTTAGAATGAATCTTTCAGTTAGTTGTGAATTTTCATTCAACCTTCATTTGCTTGCATATGGTATTCATGTTACATTCATATGTCGTCGGTCCACGTTAATAGCCTTTCAGTAAGAATAAATGTGCCAAGATATTAGCACAGTTCGTCGTATACTGTCATAGCATCTTCTGTATGCAACTTGAATCTTGATTTCAACATGTTATGTAACAGACTGAAAAGGAAAGTATGCATGAATGACACTTCCTTTTCGTTGGAACTGTGTTTTAGTTCTTTGGAGATCAGCTGCACAAAGGCAGAAATCTAGAACTTAGGTCAAATTCCAGGCTTCTACATGCTGTCATGCCTCTCGTGTTCCTATGTCGAAGAATTAACATTGATCTACACTTTTTGACTCCTTTGTGATTGATCCCTGCCTGATATCTTCTACTTTTGAAAGATGAGAGCATGGCAGCCATCTTGAATCATGATTTTGGTGTTATGATACTCATGCATGGTTCTTTGACCAGTGCAGTCCGATTCCCTACAAGTCCATGATGATGATCAAGCATCCGTCCAATTCCAAGAACATCACAGCGCATCCTGATGACGAAGCTGCAGGTCTCAGTAAGAAATCATGAATGAAATCCACTGCTACACCGATCGAATCAACTACGTGATGGGAATCGAGGCTCCAACCACGCCGCTTTCATGGATTTGGTTGCGTCGGTCGTCGTCGTGCCATCGGCCGCGTGCTCACAAACGAAGGGGAAAAGATCCACGACGTCGTCGACCATCATCTGCAGCGAGCTAAACGACACGGTGATGCGCTTCTGTCCGGACCTCCGCAGCCAGTCTTCACGATGAAGATTCATAAATTCGTCGAGGAAAGTGGAGTCGGGTATCTCCCGATCATGATTCAGATGTCGATGGCGCAGCAAGAAATCCTCGAAGCTGAACGAGAACACTAAATTCGAGCTGACGAAGTCGACCGATTCGTTGATTTCGCGGCGGTCGTAGGAAGCGGCGCACTGTCGCCGGTGGTCGATGCCATCCAGCGTCTCGATAGGAGGCCGCACGTCCTCCACCAACACCCTCTCCCACTCGTCGTCGCCCACACTGAACCGGCCGATCTCCACCACCGAGGCGCCGAGGCGGTGCACTGCAAACACCACGCAGTCCGGAGAGGTCGGAGGCTCCGTGAATGTGAACAGTCGGTGGGAGGTCTTCCTATCCGGGTACATCACTAGGTTGATGACCTGTGTGGAGAAGGGGTTGAAGAAGAACAGCTCCCTCTCCCGGGTGGCCAGCAGCCATCCGTCCTTGGATTCCATGCACGTTGCGCCCCGGAGGTGCGGCAACGACATCTCGCAGCATTTCGGATGAAGGTGATCGTACAAGTAGCACTTGTTACCGCCGTCGACGCCGACATCGTAGAGCAACATCCACGGGCGCTCCTTGGAGAACTCGGCGATGTGGGAGCAACCCGATGGGAAGAGCCGCCAGTTCTTGCAGACGCCGCGAAAGCTCAAGTAGTCTATGAGGGGCAGGCGGGCGGAGATGTTGCCGAGGGGATCGTCAAGCAGGTCCGACCAGCTTGTGGCTCTTGTCTTCGCCGTCGATGGAGGGACGGCGCGTGAAGCTTCTTCTTCATCTTCAACAGCAGCAGCAGCAGCGTGGTTGGAATCAGTTTCCATGCGCACTGTGTCCAGCGAACGAGCAAGTCCAAAGGAAATCAATTAAACGCCTTGCTCGAAGAAAGCCAAAGAGAAGAAGCGACACGGTATCTTTGACATGTCCTCAAACCAAAAAGAAAGACGACTACAGAAAGCGGAGTCTGATTCAAGAAGTCTCAGAGAAGGTCAGACTGATGAAACGTAAAGACACCATCGACAACAAGAAACATCGTTCAAGATGTCAACAACTCCGAGGTAATGTCGATCACCTGACGGTTCTTTTCTCTTAATCGTAATGTTCTCTACGTCTTTCTCTAAATCATACCAACACTTGTATCTCTCTCTATCTACGATCGATTCTACTATATATATGTATGTATATTTCCCATACGATGAGCACAGATCGAATGCTATGTATGAAGAGAAACAAGACCAAAGAAACGAAATGAACCTTTGCTTCGATCCTTTTCTATCGAGTCGTAGGAGAAACCTAAGGAGGAGGAGGAGGAGGAGGAAAGCAATTGATGACTTGGGTATAAGTAAAGCGGAAAGAAGGAAAGAAAGAAGGAAAGACTTCATTTGTTAGGCCGTTTTTGGGTGGAAAACTATGGAGTTAAACTGAAAGATCAATCAATCAGGAAGAAGTATGATTGATTGAGAAAGTAAGAAGAGAGAATAGATAGAGGGTGGGCGTACAGTAATTGTACTAGAAATGAATGAATACATATAGCTAATGAATGTTCTTCTTTTGTTTTTTTGGATTTGTTGGCCTAATCTTTGCAACTAGAGGTGGAATTTAGGGACCATGTCGATCAGTTTGACATCGACTCAAAGCTATGGTTGATTTTATATGACTCTAAAATGTGAAGCCGTCCAATATCGGATGTTGAGTTGATTTACAGGATTTCATAGATACATTATTATTATTATTATTATTTTGAGATTAATGATTTATAAGTATTAATTTGATATAAAGTTAGATTCAAACTAATTGTAGGATTATGATTATGATTAAAAATTCTAATACAGAATTAAGTATTTAATGAATGGTAGTGTATTGATACTCCCTTATTTCGCTGGTAGGAATTGCTTTTGCTTTCTTTGTTCTTTGATTACTGGTAGGAATTGTCTCTTGCCTATCCATGGGTTTAATAATAACTTGAAAGGTTAGCCTATGGAAGAATCTCTACGCTTATTTTTAACTCCTCGAATCATTTCATTACTTGCTATATTTTGAATCTCACGAATAGCATTAAGATTGAGCACTTATAAGATTTTCTCTAATAGATATAGAGAGAATCGAGAGAAGAGTTCTATAAAGTTTATGTAAGAAAGCGTGTATGTGTTTAAAAAAATATATTTCTTATATTTATTTTTTCTTATATAGCAAAGAATTTGATTTTTTTCCACGAACTTTTTTATCGAGTTTTTGGTATATTCCATGTAAATTTATATAATTTTCTCTTTTAATTAATATTCAGAATATATTTATGAATCATGTGAAAGGAATGTCGTAAATTTATATAATTTTTTTTATTTTAATTAATGTTAAAAATATATTTTATTATAAATTAATAAACTTACATATACCATTGCAAAGAACTTAGATAATTAACAGTCAGCATAATAACATCAGAAACCAAATTTACAATAATACTCATTTGGAAAATGTGAGGAACCACGAGGGATTAAATAATTGAAGAAAATAATAAACAGAATATTTGGTAAATTTTAATATTTTTAAAAAAATTATTTATAACCACGATCGACAGTAGTTGAATTTAGTTTATTATATGCGTTTCAACAAGATTGACATATATGAAAAGTCAAAAATATTTGAAGGGATTATAAAATTAAAACCTAAATATAGGATATATATATATATATATATATATATATATATATATATATATATATATATATATATATATATATATATTATAACAAGAAAAAAAGAAATGTTGAGATAAATATGACCACCTTACATTGATAGGATAGATAATTTTTCTTCTGTGACAGAAGAGATCATGTAACTACACAAACAAGATATGTATATTTACATGTAGTCAGGAAGATTACATGATCTCTGAAAGGGGAGAGGTCATACCATTAAGTATTACACCATTAACACAGCAAAGTAGTGGCTTGCTTGCAGATAGCAGCCATTCTGCATTCCATGCATGAAGGGATAAGCCTTATCAAGCTGCAAGTCACCAAGAAAAAGCCATCAGTCACTAATCCATTATGAAGATTTTGCTCACTGTAACATGTGGTTTTTGTAGATAATAAAAACTAATAAACTTCCTACAGAAGCTCTTGACAGCTATCTTTTGTTAGGTAAGCCATTTCAGAATTTACCATCAACTTCAAATGACTGATGATTGGTTCAATCATTGATATCAGACAAACTAATTCTTTTGCTGCAGCACTTCAGATTTTGCAGCGTCAGATACAAAGGACATTGGATTTTGCAGTGTCACATACACTTCACATCTTAATCTGCAATCCACTTATATGTTACTTGAATGATGTCTCATACAATGCAACACTTCAATAACTGTTTAAAGCAATAAGGAGATGAAGAAAAGAAAATAAAGGGAACATTAATTGTTTTCCCAGTCTAAATAAAAATGACATTACAAATCTCAACTAGAGAGAGACAATGCAATTATTGTCAACTTAAGGAAGCTTATGTCCTACACTGATCGACTTCCTCTAGGCTATTACCACAAATGAGGTAAGCTGTATCTTTGCATTTAATTGCAATGATGTCGGTCACAATGTTTGATAGCGATAAGATCCAGCTGGAACTGCATCCTGTAGAAAGTAGTATACCACAAGATATGACACAACATGTTCTAACAACTGCTTATATTACACCAAGAACTAGTACAGGCAGACTTAAGCCAAATAGGTAGTGAATGGCTAAAATTTTCATATATTGCAGCAAAACTTTTGCTTCTCTGACTTCCTCTTTGACACTGAGAACATATACATATTATGTATAAAAATGAACTTACTAAACATGGTAGATCATCCCCACTTCAATGAGGCTTATGTGAGGAATATTCAAAGCCACTGCAGGACCCCTGCAATTCTTACGGAGGAAAGAGTAGGCAACATCAATGGCAATTTTTTTCATGAAAGATGATGTCTTCCTGGCCTTTACATAAGAATGACCCATTATATAGGCAACTCCTGCTTGCTTAGCTTCCAACAGTGCCATTAATTCTTCTTTAACCTCACAGTTAATATCTTCTGTTTCAGACAACTCGATTTGCACCCGATGACGATGACTAACATGAGGTGATTCTTCCTCATATAGGGACTGCAAACTTTGCAGCGTTACGGATTTGCTGCTCCTGATAGGGGTAGAATTACATTCACTCTCATCAGCATCCCTTGTCACCAACCTAGTACCAGATGTGTCAGTAGTTCGTATGACGACCATTCTTCCTTCTGGAGATGAATCATAACTTCCAGTGGATGACCCCTCACCTTCCATCTGAATGAACTTGGCAATGCTCAATATCAATTGATTCTCAAAGTTGTCTTCAACTTTCTGCACATCTTTGTAGCCATATCTTATGATGCACCTATACATTCTGTAGGTTCTGGGGCCAATCCGTCCTATGAGGTATTGTTCATCTGGTGGAATATATGGGACCGGTACTGATTTCATGCAGACAAAGACAAGAACTTGATGGAAAGCAGGAAGGTTGGTCACAAAATGGGAGAAGATAGATGGCACACCAGTAGCTAGCTCTGTGTAAATAAATCCCATTCCTGGGACACGAACAATCCCAAGGCTGGGGCCAAGAGTGAGAATCCATTTCATTGAGACCTTGTTTTGTAGGTTAAAAAGGTACTTTTCGTGAGTGCCATAGTGCCAGACATACATGATGACCATGAAGATAAAGGAGAGCACAAAAGGCACCCATCCTCCCTGAGTAAACTTAATGAGAGAAGAGGAAAGATAGGCACCCTCGATAGACCCAAAGAAAATGAGAAATAGAAGGGCAAATATGACACTATTTTGCCACACAAAGATAATAACTAATGCCATCAGCCATGTGGTAATAAACATCACAGTCATGCTTGCTATACCTGAAATCAAAGATAAAAGTACAATCCTGCTTAGCAGATAATATAAAGATGATCAACAACCAATATTGGTTATAACTGCAAACACATTGAAGTAAAAACATGGATGACAGAGACCCACAAGTAAGATTGTGGTTATAATACAGATTCCAAGCATGTACCATCAAACCTAACTATGACTATATATAGAATGACATGCAATGAAGATCCCTGGAGCCAATAGAAATTTCAGAATAGATAAAATCAGACCTGACATTTGGCATGTCTATCATGCTGATCAGTGAAGGAAACAACCTTACCGTAAGCATTTCCAATTATGGTTGTGTCACGAAAACCAAGTGTGACAGAAAGACAAAGAACCATAAGGATCCAGTTTATTTCAGGTATATATATCCGGCCGTGGATCCATCTTGATGTATGGACAATTTTGACACGTGGAAAGCATCCCAACGAATGACATTGCTTCACAATGGAGAAAGTAGCAGAGATGACAGATTGACTAGCGACTATAGCAGCAAGAGACGAGATCACAAAAACAGGCCAAAAAACTGATTCTGCAAAAAAAAAAAAAAAAAGAATTCAAGTAAATGTTCATCTTTGGGCATTTTTTAGAGTAGCAATCCCAATGCGTGAAAACTTACGTGGTATAGATTCGAAAAAGCTGCTAGATACATCGTGTATATTTTTAGAAAGAAATGCTGCTTGCCCCATGTATTGCAGTACTAAACATGGATAAATCAGACCAACAAATGCTATCTGCATAAAAAGTTCCATGGAGATTGAAGGTATCAATGACATGAGAAATTTAAGATAAAACACAGTGCCAAGTCAGAATTTGTAGGTAGAAGCTTTCATTTACACGGGCCACAAAATAATGAAATTCCAGTATACAATGATCTACTGGAGCAAACATTCTATGGCCAATTTTTCCCCCTGAAAAGTCCTTGCCCTAAAACCTTCTAGAAGACCTTTTATGAGACAATTGAGTGAAGTAATATTGAAGTTATTTAACAGAAAAAAGAGGTGGAAATGGGAGAAACATGAGAAAAATAAGAGTGGGAATAGTTGTAATTGTCTCTAAAGAGGAAGTGAAGCAAGAGTGCATAAACATATGAGACCCTTCCACTTACGGCTAAAGGAGTAGAATAGTCACATTTTCACATTTTACATCATTTAGAGTTGTTCCAATGAGTATAGGAACTAAGCCCCATGTTGAGTGAGAACACTTAAAGGAGTATAGGAACTTGTATTATTGTTTATCTGTTTGTATGGTTTATTTATGTTCCCAATAAAGTTAGTCACAAAAAATGGTCTGTACTGACATAGGTTACTTATAATTTGTCATCGTATGTGCAAAAGCTTGTTGCCAAGTAAAAAACCCTGCTAGTTGGATGAATCAGGAAGAATGGAATTTTGTGCTGCTTCAACAATTATGGTGCATAACGGGACAGAATAGCTACACGATTGTTCTTTAACTACAATTTAATTTTTTTAATGTGAGAAAGCTGGTGGCAAAGTAAAAGAGTTGGACGAATCAGAAGATAGAGTTTTGTGCTTATTTAGTTGTGATATCATATGGGCATAACAGGACGAGAATAGCTACTATTTTGCCTAAAACTTAAACCTCACTTTTAAAATGATAGACTTTCATTTTAATTGGTTTTGTAATAATAATGGGATAGCAAATGACTGTGAAGGGCAGTAAATTGCCATATGGACATCTCATGTGAATATCGATGAGATAATTCTTATAGAAAATTAAATAAAATTTCCAGCTGAATTTCTAACTTGGACAGATGTTGCCACCATAGTCATTCCACTACCATGGCAATGTAGTAAATGATCAATACTAAGCCAAAGTGGTTAAGAATGTATGACTGAATAGAAAGGTGGCCTTGGAAAACATAACTAGCATGAAGTAAACATGATGAAAACATTGTCAAAATAGTTCTAGTGTATAATTACAGCATCATCAATCAGTTTAAACTACAAGGTGTCAGGGACTTCAATGTTTGTGCATAGCAAGATTCGTAATACCGTACCGTACCGGTATTTCGACCTGGGCTCAGTACCGGTACGGTACGGTATACTGAGCGGTACACCCAGGTGTACCGAGTACTGTAGCACTGTAGCAGTGATACAGTAAACTGCTACAGTGCTACAGTACCTCGGAACGGTAACAGTCGATCCGCGTACCGAAAACCTGTCGGACCGGTACGTACCGCCCGTACCAGGCGGTACGGCTCGGTACGGCAGACCCTGGTGCATAGATCTCTGAAAGTAATCTTTCTTTAGAGAACTAATTTGCCAATTCTTGTGTGTTGTTTGAAACTTTGAATAGAAGATTTTCTCTTCCTTTAGTATAAGTATCACTAGCAGCATTAAGATGTAACATATTATGGTTGACACACACTTTAAAACAAGCATCATAAGCAGCATTGAGATGTAATGTCTTATAGTAGATGTCCAAGCTCCCTCATTGAATTCTGTTCATCTCACAACCAAGATACCAAATGTCCTAAATTACTTGATCTGAATAAAGCATAACACAGCAACCTAATGTTTACATATGATATTGCTGATAGATGTTACATATACAAGAGAGAATACAGTTGATAGAAAAAGGTTGCAGGGACTGTAAAACGATCGGTACACTTTCCAATAATAAGGTTAGTCAATTGAACTAGAAACTTATCTGAACAGACCACACTTATGATTCACTTGGAATGTTTTTAAAAAAGAGAAAATTGAGATCAGCTTTAATATGAATTATGTAATTTTAAGAAGCATATCAAGGAGAATATTATAATCAAACTTATTAAATTATTCAATTGATTTACATATATCACACATTCGCAGAGATAAGCAAAAGAGTGATACATACGAATATCAAATATAGTTCTCCTTACCATACCTACAGGTTAATCAAAGACAGATTTCTTGAACATGGTCAAAGTCAGAAACCTGACTTTGGAGAGTAGCAAATATTGACAATTCATTTATTCCAAGAGTTTCATATTGCTTCTAGTGTACTATCGGCAATTCATTTAAAAATTTCAGCTTTATCTGAATATTCATTCTTGAAACAAGAATTCTCACAAATATATAATGAGATATTTGGAACACATACCCTGATGGATGTCTCATTGAAGTGTCCAAGATCTGCAAACATAGCTTCAGTACCTGTAAATCACTCCAACTTAGAAATAGATTGCTATATACTAGCTAAACTGAAGAAGAACATTCACAAAAGAGAAGGCAGCAGAAGCTCTGATATCAACCTGTAACTGAAAGAAGTATTCCCCCAAGGGAAATCCAACCATCTTTTCCTGTGTGCTCAAAAAACTTGACAATGTAATGTGGAGAAAGAGCATGGATTATTCTGGGGTTCCAATAAATTGTATTGTACAAGCCAATTGCAGCAATGAACAAGAGCCAAATAATAACAACAGGAGCAAACATGAAGGCCACCCTCTGAGTTCCCTTGTGCTGCAAGGCAAAGAGTCCAACCAGCACAACACAGGAAATGATTACCACCTCACCTATGTTAGACAGAAGATCAAATATTGTGATATACAATGTAGTGAAAATGTAGAAACTAATGCAAATTCAACTTTCCAATAACCTTCTAGATGATTTAAGAAAACATACTTAAGCAAGAAGTTCTAGATGGCAGGCTTGGAGTTGCATAAGGAAAATCGCCTATTAAATTGACCTGATTGCTGCAGTATGAAGTAGAACAATTGCCAGCACCACTGCTTCCATAGCAAATTAAGCCAATATTGGGAGTTGCCATCAAAACTTGTCGCCTTTACATGATGGCTAAACCAACTCTGCTATATTGGCTTTGCTTACAATAGAAATCTATGGTTATCAACCATCTCAAGCATTACCAGATCCGCTTAAGAGGCATGACCATCTACTATACAACCACGACAGAGCCAGCGATATTTGGTAATGTCACTGTCAGTCAAAATTCTTGTCATTTCATCATGTGATTACCAATGGGAGCAACATAATATTGTTTCCAACTTTTAGCCTAAGCCACAATAGACATTGCAACTGTACATCAACATTTTTTGCTAAGAGGCAAAGAATAATGTCCCATGTTTAGCAAAACCCAAGCTGGCTTATCAAAGTTGAGAAATTCTTTTACATGGCAACATTCATAGGAAGCAAATTGGCACTACGACTGCCCGCTATCGTATGAAAGGCATGCCAAAGAGTGGGCCTTAGTCTCATGGTAAAGATGCTCATTTGCATCTAGTGACCAAAATTTAAGTTGTGGAAGCAGCCTCTCTATTTGTGTTTTGTATGGATATGATTACATATATTGACCCTCCCAAGACCCTCTACTAGTGGAAATCTTGTGCACTGGGTTGCCATTGTTGAGAGGCATCCTAGTAATACAAGAGGTGTCTCATGCAAGTTGCAAGACCAACTAGGAGCAAATTTTTGTTCCGATGACTAGATTTTGACCATCATGGATCATCAAATAAGCAGTGGCACTTCATATGCTTTGACAATGCATAGAAAATAATTAAAAAAATAAATAAAAAGCGAAGTAACATGATATCTGAACTTTCTCATAATAATTATTTAACTTATTTTGATACGTTTATTTGGTAGATTTAACGAGCAACTAAATAGCAAAGCCCACAATACTACTTGATGTGTTCAATGAGGCATAGACGCTCAACTGAGTTCCCTACATATTGATGTTGCATGCACTATCTCGTGGTGTTAGAATTAAGTTAAACTTAATCATGACTAGACCAGTCATGATCACACTTTGACTACTAGTCTTGCTAGCATAATTTCAGCTCCACCTAATGCAACATCAACATTTTTTGTAAAGCCAATCAATAGCAACCAATTTCAGCTAAGCAGAGATCTCCTCTTTCTCATTATTTCAGTTATAAAGTTACTGTTCTAATTTGACATATCTCTAGGAAGTTTACTTCCCCTAAGTTAGAGAAAGTAAGCATTAAAGATGCACTCTTAACACTTTCATTAGTGCTCCAAATAAGAATCATGTGCATGTATATGAATGCAATACATTTTTCAGACATGAATGCATATGTGTGTGTGTGTATAGTGAAGTGTTACTACAAAAAATTGGACTCAAGTCCCCTGTCAAATGGTCCTGTACCTTTCTTTTCAAAAAGTCACCTTATAACTGGGAATAAAAAAGAGATTTCTTTCTAGATCAAATTCCCATAAATACAGAACCATATTAAAAGATAGATTTATGCCAAGTTTGTGTATTATGGTTCAAACCAAGAACTAATGCTTTCTTTCTAAAGCAATAACACCTGTGGACCTAGCCCATTGATCAAATAGGCAGGTGAACAGAGAAGATAATTCTCCAACCTTCATCAAACAACTTAGGCTACACAAAAAACTATTAAATTTTTGCTACACAACCTTCATCAAACGGAGAAGATAATCCCTTATAGTTTGCTCGTGTCTAAAATAACCCTTAAATTTTAAAAAAACGTAACATATAAGTCCCTCCCATCAAGTCTGAGTTAACAGACGTTAGATTTTGCTTACGTGGCATGTTGACTCATAATAAACTATTAATATAATGACACATGTAATTTAAGTTTAAAAAAATATCCATTTTAGCCCCTGTGATTTTGGTTATAGATCATTTAAGCCCTTATGGTTTTGCTCGTGTATAAAATAATCCCTACATTTTCAAAAATATAGTATATAAGCCCCTTTGTCAAGTCTGAGTTAACAGACGTTATAGTCTACTTACGTGACATCCTAACTCACAATAAATTATTAATATAATAACATGTATAATTTAAATTAAAACAAATTGAGACCATCATCAATGGCGGGAGGAGGCATCTTCGTGGAAGTAACCATCAGTAGCAGCACCGAGCCGCTGTTGCCTAGCAGGGCTTCGGACACACGCAGCCTCTCTCGCACTGACGACAAGTTCAGGAGCTTCCGGTCTTGCCTCAGGTGGATGTGTTGATTAGTTTGACGCTAGGCATGCAATGGTCTCCTAGTCCCTCTTCCTCCTGCTGGGAGTCTTCGTCCCCATCGCCTCCCACTTTGTCCTCTCATACGCCTCCACCCGTCATGCCTACAACATGGTGGTCCAGCTCTCCCTCACCTTCACCTTTAGCCTCTCCTAGCTCTACCTCTCCGCCTATGTCTGTTGTTTCCTCTTCCTCGACAAGATAGACTTTTTTTTAAACTTAAATTACATATATCACTATATTAATGATTTATTGTGAGTCAACATGTTACATAAGCATACTCTAACGTATATAAACTCAAGCTTGACGGGAGGAACTTATATGCTATGTTTTTAAAAATATAGGGGTTATTTTAAACATAAGTAAACCATAAGGGCTTAAGTGGTCTATGACCAAAACCACAAGAGCTAAAATTAATCTTAACCAATATATATATATATATATATAGGGAATCCAAACCAGTAATCGCTTAAAAGGGGCTTGGTTGCTTTAACAACCAAAGCTAGTGGGCATCGGCCCAAACAATTGCATCTATTGAAATATTTTTCTGCTACTGTATCAAGACTAAGGTTGGCTAAGGATCAATGAGATTAAAACCCTTGAAAATCAAATTTTAAAACCAAGCAGTTGAAATACATTTCCATCATAATAAAGAGCTGAGAAATAAGAGAACCATGACATTTTCATATATAAAAGAAAGGCCAAAGAATAAACAACACATACCATCAACTAATTTTTTGGCACGAACTTGCAATCCAGAAATTGATGAGAGAACTGCAACATAGCAAAATTTATTTTGAGAATGAGATGGAGACGAAAAACAAAGAGTTTTAAGAAATAAAGAGCGAATTTTCATTCCCTAAAAAGAAGGGTTACATAATTACATATGGCAGTATACCAGAAATTGCTGGCGTAAGAACCCCGTCTCCTATCACCATGCACGCACCAAACAGAACAATAAGAAGTAAGCATGTACGCAGTCTTTTGTGCTTCTCCAAAAACCTTTTTAATGGAGAGTAAATAGCAATTTGAGGAATGTAACCAGCTCTATAATATGTGGAAAGCTCCTCATCAGCTGCTTGCTGATTAGGAAGTAAGCTAAGCTTTGCATGTCTGCAGAGCAATGAGTACAAAGCAAATGTTCCACCTATGAGCAGTTCCATTATTATGAGTGACAAAGGTGGGAAAAAGGAAATACAAAAGAGAAAGAGAAGGCTACATTATCAAGAGTCTGACCTTCACCGTTATCATCAGCACCTAAGACTATCATCACATATTTAAGCAATGGGATTAGGGTGAATGTCCAGAATATCAAGGAAAATACACCAAATACTGTCTGCTCATCTCGATAATTGTTCAGCCTTCCTGCAAAACAACTTGCATATACATAGATGGGAGAGGTACTCAAGTCTCCATATACGACTCCAAAACTCTGATATGCTAAAAGAAGCAGACGTTTGTAATCACTCTTCCAATTAACCTGCAAACACAAATAATGATCAACATTCATCAAACAATTCTATCAGTGAAAAAAAGAAAAAAGATTTTGCACTGAACCTAATAGCACGCCTCGAGTATAGTAAATTGGTTGACAGAAAATCTAATGACATACAAGCAAACATGCTTTTGATGTATTCCTTCTTCAACTATCCTGTAACTGGCAAATGAAAACTTCCTACGCGATCACTTTCTATAAAAACAAAATAACATACATCTATCAGATAAGTATGTTTAATTCCCCACTCTTTCAATATGAAAACAATCCTGTCTTCCAAAGTCATAAATAGAGATTAGCCATGACGGAGAGAAATCTCATACAAGTCGAACATCATCCAACCCGGAATTAAATCAACAGAAATGCTATAGCTACAAATTAAATCTTGAACTCCAATTGATCAAAAGTCAAAAGAACGCGGCACTCCGCATCGACATTGACATCTACAACCAATGAGTAGAAACGCAAAACTTACAATCGACTCGGATACCATTCCAAAAATTGGTTTCTTTTACTTTGTTCTCGTACCATAAAATCGAAGGGTTTCAACTAAAGATAGAATCCCAAATCCCGTATAAAACCTCCAGATCCATAATGAGGGTGGTCATCATTACCAACCCGCACAGCTACAGAAACCGAAGAGCACGAAAACAAGAAGCAGCAGACAACTAAAAGTAAACCCTGGGATTGAAGCCCTAACGATCTGTTGACGGAATGGAAGGTGTCTGACCAGCCGATCGTGCGGAATCGAACCAATCTCTTGATCCATTGTCGTTCGACGGATTTGTGCCCGTCGTCGCCACTTCCACTGCCACTGCCGCTGCTGTTTCTACGCCCAGAACGGATCACTCCGAATCTCCAAAACAATCCGCAGCGAGCTCGGAGAGAGAGAGACAGACGAGAAACTCCAGTTTATAGCGAACGCAGCGCGCTGGTTCTTTGTGGATCCTTGCACCGGCGGTGGATTTAAGATAGCCATCGCCGCCGAGACGCCGTCTTGGCTGAAGCGGGGCCTACGGGCGGGCACCAGGTTTCTACCCTTCTTCCCGACCCGCCTGGCGGAGCACGGCAATTGGGTAGGATGTGCGGGACCCGCAAGTAACACGCGGGGACACTCACTAACTAAAAATACAAACTGCTCAAAAGGATAACATATTTTGTAGTGGGACCCATCAGATGCGTAAGCGGGGCAGGTAAGACAACAGGGTACGGAAGAAGTTGGATAATTTACAGAAACAATCCTCTAACTTTTAATATTTTGTAGAGGGATCCCACTATTTCGAAGTAATTTCTTTCTTTAATTTTTCAGCTTATTATATATATATATATATTTATTTATATTTATATATAATAAATATCACAGTAATATTTTGATTTATGAACAATCAGTAGATATTTCGATCCGTATATCAAATTCATGAGATACATGAAGTGCCAGCTGATAAGTCAATGACTATATCTGCTGAAAAGCCATGGACTAAGTTGGCAAATTTCTAAACAAGAAAGGGTTAATATGCAAAATTCCTAGAGGGATCATCGTGCGGAAGTCAGATCTTGACTCCGCCGGCTCATCGAACGGCTGAGATTTGCTGGGGCGTGGCCTCCGTGAGCCATGTGGGAATCTATTTAAGAATATAAATAGAGAGGGGGTGGGAATGGGAGAATGCATGCACTCGATGACATGACCATGATGCCGATGCCCATAAGCATTAGATAATTCCCATGGCTTATTCTTTTGTATGTGTGTGTGTGTGTGTTTGTGAGACGTGGAGTTGACCTCCGTGCTTTAAACAAATCAAGATTTGTGCGTGGTTTTTGGGGGAAATAAAATCGAATTTTAATTAGTCATAAAGCACATGCATGTGCTTTCGATGTAAAATTATTTTTGAAATATATTTTAGGAAAGGGTGTTTTTATTTTTTTGTGAAAAGGAATGAAAACGATAAAGTTTTTTTTTATCTTTGGAATTTGGTTGGAAATGATAATAGATTAAAAAAAAACTTAATTTGGTTTAAACCATCATGTTCCGATTTTGATATTTGATGATTTAACTCAGGTCTCCACGATTAGATGATGATCGAATATTTTATCTCATGAATTAACTATCATCTTCATTTTCAATGATTTCCTAAATCCTCTATAAAAAAGCCATCTAAATGCATCCTCTAACTCATTTGAAAAATTTATATGCTTTCACTTCTAAATTCTTTAAATTTTTACTAATTTCAACATCAAATGAGTCTTTACTCTTCACATAATCCTTGCATTAATCGAACCCATAATATGATCTTTATCATTCCTTGTGTAAGCTATAACACACGATCTTGATTGAATTTGAATCCTTGACATATCAGATAATTAAAATATGAAGTAATAAAAGTAAATACTTAGTAAAAGAGATAA